AATATATCCATGAGCTCCAGTTTAATCTGTCCAATTCAGGAAAAATTCCAATTAAAATAGAATCTTGACCTTAACCCCAGGGTTATTTACATGATGACATCATATTCCAGAAGACCTTCAGAAAGCAGCCAATGTCCCAAGAGGAAAAAAAAAGTCAGGAGTGGGGGAGGTGGCTATAAACATATTGTCTTTGACTACATAATCCTTGGTGCTACATTATCTATTTTTCTTCTATGAAGTTTCATAGCATAAAATAAAGTCCTCAGAGCCTTAAAAGGATCAAATAATCAGAATCTGTTTACTAAATCCAAGTTCATTCACTCATCATATTTTATGGGACTCAAAATAAGATTTTTTAAAGATGAATAAAAGGCTGTCTGCCTCCTTAAAAGCAAAACAAGTGTGTTCTAAATCAGTTTATTCAGGACCTTCAATATTCCAATACTACAACAGAATAAAAACAACACATTTGGAATCTGGTTGAAGCATATATTCCTAATAACCTAGGTAATTTTCACACTTTAACTGGTTATGAACAGAAAGCTACTGACCACGACAGAGCTAACTTAGTGGTACCAACTCTTGTACCAATCCACTATAGAGAAATGTAACATACAATCAAATACATCATCAAGCTTAAAGCAATTTTTCAGACTTGGCTTCCTTGACAGCAGGCTGAAAGAGTCAAGAGGGGAGGAATAGTAAGATTTGCATCTTGGCCTTATCTCTGCAGTAAATTGGGAGTCCACCAATGAAACATGGAGAGCACAGTGTTGATCTGCACCCTGAAGATAATGAATTCCACCAGAATTAAGATCAGAGAATAAAGCCGGGTGTTGGTGGCGCACGTCTTTAATCCCAGCACTCGGGAGGCAGAGGCAGGCGGATCTCTGTGAGTTCGAGGCCAGCCTGGTCTACAAGAGCTAGTTCCAGGACAGCCTCCAAAAACCTCGGAGAAACCCTGCCTCAAAAATAAAAAAAAAAAAGATCAGAGAATAGAAAAAAACTAAGAGGCAGGAATCAACAAAGTTAAAATATAAATTAAGCCTTTTTGGTTTCTCTGTTACAGTCCTGGCTACACTGGAACTCACTTTGCAGACCAGGCTGGCCTCAAACTCAGAGATCCACCAGCCTCTGCCTCCTGAGTGTTAGGATAAAAGGTGTGCACCAGCAACACCCAGCCTTTAGCTAAGCCTTTTTGAACCCATATCCATCTAAATGAATCTTAATCCCTAATTTCTTATTTGCCACAAATATAACCTCACAAGTCACTCCTCTATTTCATTAGATTTATGACGTGAGGGCATTGGACGAAAGGAGTTGTATGTCATGTCAGCCTCTGGCCTGAAATGAACCTTAGACATAGAGAAATGAATAGGAGTAGTTACGGCTGAAATTCAGCCACAAAATCTGTTTAATAGTAGGTATGGATAGGACATTTAGGGACAGTCCTGGAGTTGGCTTAATTACAGTAGAGTTTTTTTGCATGGATCCAGCAAAGGATAGACAGCCTCAGACAAGAGAAACTCAGAGAACTAGGGTTTAAGCCTAGCATTTTCATACAGGCCTGTAATCCTATGCAGGCAAATAACTGGAAGTTCAAGACCAGCTTGGGCTGCATTGGCAGCATAAGGCCAGCCTGGGCTACATACTCTCCCCCTGGAAGGAGAACTGTGTATCAAGCAAAGTAGGCTTGCAACAGTATTACTGCAAAAAAAAAAAAAAAAAGGAAAAAAAACCTGTAATGTGTAGAGAAGGGGGAGGGCACAAATTCTAACAGTGTAATGCCTGCTTGTGATTTTGTAACCTAGCACAGATGCTGACCACCAGAAACTGCCAACACTCAGGCTGTCATAATCAGAGATGAAGCAGTTTGATTTAGCAAAGGAATTGCACAGCCCACAGTGAAAGGCAATTCCCCTGGAAAGAGCATCTTTGGAAATAGCAGCCACCTTCGCTACTCACACAGGAAGGTATGCAACAAACAGTTTATATTCGCTGTCGGTGCTGCCGAGTTAGACAACAATAGCAGGCTCTTTACACAAAAAGGAAAATCATACTACATGGTGCAAAAAAAGACAGGCAAAACCATGTACCTTTAATGTTATGTATTCCATTGAAAGATGTTCTAGAATCAGATTGCAGGGGTGCACATTTGCAGTCTCAACTAGGTGGAAAACAGAAGCAGGAGGATCTCTTAGAGCCAGAAGTTAGAGCACTGCCTGGGCCACAAAGTATTTCAAACACTGTGTCTTGGGAAGGAGGGTGAAATATGCCTTAATGGGGGAGTGGTGAACAGTTATGTTTATAACTGTGTGGTCATATTTACCATTTTGTTAAAGTTCTATTTGCTCTTTAGACTCATTCTAAAACTATGGCTCTCGGCTTGGCTGAGCATGGTGGCACATGCCTATAATCCCAACACCAGAGAGATGAGAAGCAGGAAAACGAGAGATCATTTGGTCTCAGCTACATAGTCAAACCCTATTTCAAACAACAAACAAACAAGGTGACCCAAGCCAGGAAAAAAAAAAGGAGCTATTATCAGCTGTGACCCTTGGCTCTAATTTTCTGCACCTACTACTGCTGAATAAAAGTGACACAAGCTGGACTTGTGACCAGCTTTGATGCAGACTGCCATCTGCAGCACACACGGGATGTCTCCACTCAGCCCCAGTGTCTCATCAGGTAGGATCATTATGAGAACATCTATTGTTTGGGGCAAGTTGTTTGTTCCATATTCTCCTAGTCTATGAGCCTCAAAATCACATCCACTTGAAGATTCCTGCTCCTGCAGCTCTGCAATGCATAGGCCTTCCTGGCAGACTATTAGTTAATTTTATAAGTAAAAGGAGGGATATGCAAGTGAAAGGCAACTGTTATACAATAAGAAACACAAAGGGGGAGCCATAACACCTGGGCAGGAGGGGATTTGCCAGTGGTGTGCTCTTGGCCAGGTCTCTCTCCTTTCTGGGCCTCAACTTCAGGCTTGGGAAATCAAGAGTTAAATCCCCAAGAGACATCTTCCAAACAGAATGTCGTGTGAGGAATCATAGAAAATCAGATGGGATGCATACACCATGGCTTTAGAGCAATTGGACAAAAATTCAAAACCTGCTTCTACAAATTTCAATCATCAGGTTCACCTCTTTTCAAATCTTAGGATCCCAAGTTCATTTACAAGTCACCATTCCCATGACAACACTTCTGCCCTTCAAAAATAACACTTCATTTTTAATTGTGCTTTCAGTTACAAATTCAGCACACCACTTTTACCCACCCCAGAATAGCACAGGAGAACATTGTCATGAAGTATCCCTACAAGGAAGACACTCACAGACTGGTGCATTTGCATGGTAGAAAATACATGAGGCACAAATTTTCAAACACCACTTGAATACCACACCCAAACAATATTAAAAATGAACTGCAAAATCAGAAGATGCCTCACTTGAAAACAGAAAACTCAGGAAGTCTTCCAGTAGTTCAGAGGGAAAAGGATGCCATCAGATTTTGGGTGGCCTTTATGTGTTCCAGAGAATACAACTAGAGACTATGAAACATGTGAATCAGAATTGAACTATAGAAAAACTCGGCTCTTACCCAAATGCTTCAGCAAAGCAATGTCAGTACGCCAAATATGAAAAAGTACAATTTTCTCACAAGAAGGATGATCAGGTCCGTAACTATGGCTAATAATAGCAATACTATCTTGCATTTGCAGAGCCTCTGGTTCTTTTCATAGCGTGTTCCCACAACCTTATGCTATCATAGGTCTAGGGGGTATCCTCTCTGCAAACCTCCAGTCCCTTCCTCTTCGGAGAGGGGGAGTAAGAACAAGACAGGTCATGATGCTTGGGTTGAAGGCACCGCTTTCTCTATTGAGCCGGCTGCAGTGAATCTTCCACCGCCACACTGTACAAGTTCACCCTATGAAATTAAACCTACACTTGTTCCCTCAGAGTTGGCCAGAGACCAACACATATGGGCCTCGAAAGTCCAAAGGAAGAGAACCTGCTGACTTGTTAGGTGAAAAACTCCATGCCAACCTCCTGTGCCCCCACCAGTACCCACATACACATAGCCAAGCTCCCGTTCGTCCCACCAGTACACACACACACACACACACACACACACACACACACACACACACACACACACACACACACACACACTGTTCAGACAGAATTCCTTTTCCTTGCTAGGTAATGAAACCCGACGAGAACTGGGTAACAGACCACCAAATCTCTGCCTCCGTGAACAACTTGCCATGCTGCCTCTCTTGTGCCTGCTGCCCTTCCTTGGCCACGAGTGCAGCGTGAAAGCCAACCCTCCGAAGGGACCACCGGGACCTTTAAGGACCCGAGGGGATGATGCTTGCCGCCTGAAGCAATGCAGCATCCACCTCGAGGAAACTGATTCCCGGAACACACACACATGCAGGGACTCGGAAAGGGATAAAGTTTGATTTCCCTTCCTACGCGTTCCCAGGGGGCCGAGAGAGGGCGAGGCAGCAGCCTCCCGGGGTCTTGGGGTGCTCTCTGGGGACAGTTCCTAGCAGCGTGGCACTGCCACTCTCCTGACACACCGGCAGCCGCGGCAACTCAGGACGCCCCAACCCGCCCAGCGGAGGAGAGAAGGGGACAACTCGCACCGGGCTCAGTTCGGGAGCACGGGAGCAAAGCTGTCAGCAACGACGGAGGGAGGGACCGAGCCCAGAGGCGGGTCAGGGAGAGGTTCAAGTCCCGTGCCTTCCCCGCCCTGGCGTCCCCAGTCCTGCGGGAACATCCCTGCCGTCGCCCCTCCTCCTCCTCTACTGCCTCCCGCCCCCCCGCCCGCCCGCCCTGTCTTCGCTGCCGCCGCCGCAGGCGCTGAAGGACACGGCGGCTCGGTGGCCCGCCACCCCGGGGCGGCCGCGAGTTGAGGGAAGTCGCCGGGCGCCCCGGCCTGCCCGCGGCTCCCCACGCCGCCCCGCCCTCCCCGGAGCCGCGCTCGCTCACCGTCCGGTGCTGCTGGTGCTGCCGGTGGCGGCCGACGGCCAGCCCGGGAAAGCAGCCGGCAGTCAGCGCCCCGCAGCCGCCGGCGCCCCCGCCGCCGCCCCGGGAGCAGAGCAGCAGCAGGAGCGATCTACCTGCGGCGGCCGCCATCTCTCAACTGGAAACGGCGCTGGCCCAGGCAGCGCAGCGGACGGCCGGGGCGTGGCCAAGACCCGCCACTCAGCCGCACCTGGCCAACTGCAGCCCTGACTGAAGTCTCTGAGGCGGGGCTTTCCCCGAAGCCCAATCAAAAAGCGGGAGAACCCCGGCTTCGGGCTGTCTGTCACTTCTAGAGTTACCTTACGGGCAAATTCTAGGGAACCGGTCTTTGGCACTCGAACCTCTTGGAATGGAGCAGCAAGGGATGACAAGTTCGATTTGGCTAATCTTTACCAAGCATAGCGACGCTGGGAACTAGGGAAATAGATATCTGTGCAAAGCTTGTTCGGAGTTGAGTTCTGAGTGTCCTAAGTTGTCTACACAAGCACCCAGTTGGTCATATTAAGTAGGTTACTACAACTCTCGACCACACGCCTAAAGTTAGCAGCCATAACGAATAGCATTTGGATATGAGGAAACTAACCCTGAATCATAAAGTAACACAATGACAGTGCTGTGTAACATAATCTAAGGTATGATGGTTGTAGCATCGAAGTCCCAGGATGCCTGCCATTGGGCTGAATGAACAGGGGTTGCCTGAGGCCATCAAAAAACACAGGTATTTACATAACGATACATAACTAACAAATTTACAGTTATGAAGTAGCAACGACAATAATTTTATGGTGGGGGGGTCGCAACATGAAGAATTTATTAAAGGGTTGCAGCAACATTAGGAAAGTTGAGAACCACTACACGATGAACAAGTTTTTGGCGAGGGTTTCTAGATTTTCTTAGAACACTTCCTAGTTTGTTATTATGAGCCGTTCAATTCTTTCAGCTCCTTATAAAATCTTGGGGACGGTAGGGCGATTAATTTTTTGTTGTTGTTCTAGTAAGCACCATTGTAGTTTATATAGCCTTACATGAACTTTTTAAAAAGTTGTGTTACTTGTTCTAATAATATTCTTTCAAGTTTGACTAAAACTGCTCTCTTGACCAAACAACGAAGTGAAAATTCTGGGTTAACTCTTGTGCCCTCACCCAGAACAGGCTGATGGGCTTCTCCAGCCATGGTGCCACTTAATCTTGCCTCCCACTCACCCAGAAGAGCTCAGTTTCCCCACAAGTGGAGCCTGGGAGCTGAGGAATCCTCTCCAGCTCGACAGCTGCATGGAATAGCCCCCTATTTGAAATTCATGGCATTGCTGGAACATCTTCACTCACAATTGCCTTCTGCCCATCTATATTTATCCCAACAGCACTTCATGTATTTATCCATACTGCACATTTCCCCCTCTCTCTCCCACTCCTCTGGGCCTTTCTATTCCATTCACCATGGATTTTAGTCGGTTTTGTTGTTTGCTTTTTGTTCTTTCCCCTTTGACAAACCTGGTGTGGGCCAAGAGTGTTCCGACTCCATCTCTACATTCTTACTGGAATTGCCTTTCCTCTGTTTTTCCAAGTATGGAAGTTAAGTGTCTATCCTGCAGTACTGAGATTTAGCTGTGTGCATTAAAAAATGAACCAGATTAAGCCAGGCATGGTAGGACACATCTGTGATTGCATAACTGAGGCAGGAAGGCTGCTGTGACTATGAGGCCAACCTGGGCTACATAATTAGATGTTTGGGGAAAAGACAAAAACATAAAACAAAATGGAAAAAAAAGTCACATTCTTTTGTTTGCTTGTTGCATTTTTTTCTTTTTTGAGACAGGGTTTCTTTTGTCTAATAGCTTTGGCTGTCCTGGAACACACTTTGTAGACCAGGCTTGCCTCAAAGTCATGGAGATCCTGTCTCTGCCTCCCAAGAGCTGGGATTAAAGGCATGCACCACCACACCCAGCCACTTTTTTTTTTTTTTTTACTTGAGACAAGGTTTCTCTGTGTAGCTTTGGAGCCTGTCCTGGAACTGGTCTGTAGACCAGGCTGGCCTCAAACACATAGAGATCCTCCTGTCTCTGCTTCCCAAATGCTAGGATTAAAGGCATGTGGCACCACCATCAGACCCATCCACTCTTTTTAATATACAAATATAAAGCTAGAGACACTGCTAAGAGTTCCAAATCTATTTTCCAAAATGCATCATCTCATATCCTTGAAAAATAGATTACTGATGCCCCTAAGTTAGGCTACATAATTAGAGGATCTACCGACTAACCCAGGCTTGAATAATATAGATCTAGCAATTGCTCTAAACAACTGTCAGTAAACTCCCAGGAAAAAAAGCAAAATAAAACCTCCCCACAGTGGCAAAGAACTACACGATCTGGTTAGTCAAGCTGACTAAGGAAAAAGTGCAATAGCCTATCGGAAAAGGAACCCTCACGCCTAAGAGAGATCGTTCATTAACCAGGGAACTCCCGAATCATTCTAGAGATAATATATTTATAAAGATAATATATTTATAGAGAAGGACACACACTTTGTAGATGTCAAAAAAACCTCAGTAGTTTCCAATAAAGAATCAATCAAGTAAGTTAGACATTAATCTACCAAAATATTAATCAACTGCTTACAAAAGTAGCTATCCATGAATCAAGCACAGTGGCACATACCTGTTTCCAGCACTTAGGAGGCTGACACAGAAGGAACTTGTGAGTTCAAGACCAGACTAGGCTACAGATTTAAAGACTACTGAAAAAAAGTGTTGGCATATTCTATAATCCAACACTGAAAACTCAGGCAGGAAGATTGACAAGTTTAAAGTCAACCTGGACTACATAGATGAGACCCTATTTCAAATTCAAAAAATAAACAACAAACAAAAAGAATTGTCCTACCCATACTTTCACGCATTAGCTTAGTCAAGAAAAAAACAAGAAATAGTGCTTATTCTTTATTAAAAGTGAGTTTGGTGGGCCGGGCGTTGGTGGCGCACACCCTTAATCCCAGCACTCGGGAGGCAGAGGCAGGCGGATCTCTGTGAGTTCGAGGCCAGCCTGGTCTACAGAGTGAGTTCCAGGACAGCCTCCAAAGCCACAGAGAAACCTTGTCTCGAAAAACCAAAAAAACAAAAACAAAAAGTGAGTTTGGTGTAGTGGTACATACCTATAATCTCAGTACTTGTGAAGTAAAGACAGTAAGATCTAGAGTTCAAGGTCATCCTCAGCTATTTAGAGTTAGTTGGAGGCCAGCCTGGGCTACATGTGACCCTGTCTCAAAAAAGAACAGAAGCTAAGAATATAGCATTTTTCAGCCTTTTGGCTTAGCTGAGATTATATATAAAATAAAAACTATAGATAATACAGTATACATAATGATTTTAAAAATTATATCTATAATATTGGAGCCAGTGAAATGACTCCGTGGGAGGTAAGGGTGTTTATGGTACAAGCCTGACAACCTGAGTTTGGTCTGGAACCAACAAAAGGTGGAAAGAGAGAACTAATTCTCCAAAGTTGTTATATGACCTCCACCTGTGCTCTGTGGCATGCACACGTGCACACACAAGTAATAATAACAATAAATATGCAAAACAACTTTTAAAAACCACATATATAGGGCTGAGCATGGTGGCACATGCCTTTAATCAGAGCACTTGAGAGGATCTCTGTGAGTTCAAGGCCAGTCTGGTTCTCTGTCCTGATTCCAAGCTGGCCAGGACGACAGAGTAAGACCCTTAAAAATATATACATATAATATAAATATTTTATATATATTATCCATATATAATATATTATATGTTAAATTATATATAATTAATTCTATATTATACATTTTATAATTTAGGTGGTGATTCTAAAGGAGTAGGCATGAAAACACATTGTCTCAGGGAAGTTTTAAGGGACACCTGCTCTTTTGAGTAATTTAAATTGTTCCCACCTGCATGTTAATTTTATAATTTAAAAACATGGTCATTAATGCATACATGGTTGCACAATTGTTTCTATGTTGTTCCTAGGTTGCTTTTTTTTTTTAAGCTAAAACTAATCAGAGCGTATTTCCCGGTGCATGAAACTTTAGCCAGTTTTCTCTACTAAAATGTACACTGAAGTCAGCTCCCAGCCATGACTCAGCTCAGGGGAATATTTACCTGAGGGTTCCAGAACAGGTAGGGTGGAAGGTGAAGGACACACTGACTCGAGCAAGCAAATGTGGAAGGAATCTGCCCGGAGGTCTGGGGGCTGTGCTTCCTGGCTCCCTGATAACGTGAATTACTATCTGAGTGGTCTCCGCATTCTGAACCAACAGGAAAGAGAACATTTAAAAGACGGACAAAAGGAAGGGGTGTGGCCGTCAGATATTTGTGAGGGCCCAGCCCCATTTGCTCTTTATTTTCGCTTCATTCTGTGAGAATCATTCCCGGTTCCCTTACCTGCCCCACTAGAAGTCAATTCTCCACCACCGCAACCAAGTTCCTGTGAGCTCTTCCTCTCTGTGCCCTTTGCTGTTCTTTCTCTGGCAGCTCGTCTGCATGGTAAATGCTTGTCAGCAGTGTAGTTGCGAAAGGCTCAACAACTCTCGAAGCATCTCCTCTATACATCTATACCTCGGTATTAGACATTGTAATATGTTACAGCCTTTCCTCTGTTTTCACTTCATTGGACACACAAACACCCCACGTTCTCCATTTTTTTCTCTGTCCTCCAATACTCCCACTTGCCCCAACTCTAACACAGACCCACTCCAGGTCAGAAATATATTTGCATATCCCTCTACAAATGCTTGTTAGCAGGAGGCTCATGCACTGATTTCCAAAGGATGACTGACTCCGTATTTTATAACTCAGTGACTCTGTGGTCTAATATTACTTTCTGTTGGGAACATACACTCTGCAATCTTCTCTTTTACGTGCAGAACCCCAAGAAAACATTGAGCTGAGAAGGACAGGGTTTGGTTGGGTAGGATTGTCTTTGCTCATGTTTCTCAGAATCCAAGAGGCGAGCAGCAAATTTTAAAGCTATCTTTTTGGGTTGGGTTAATTTGTGACCTCTTGCAGTCTCTGATATTTACTAGACTTTTGAATTTAGGAAGTCGTTTGTCTCTATTTGGAGTGATCAAAATTCTTAATTGTGTACTCAAATTTAGCACACCTCCTAAATACGTAG